AACTAGACCTGCAGAGACTTAAAAATGTAGAAGGGTTCCACAACTACAAAAAACTGGAAAACCAGTGATCTACAGGTATTGGTCTAAAATTACAATCTACACAGCATGGATCCCTGCCAGTGTTATTCCCTGCAATAGAGCACTCTCTCTTACCCCTGGGCTGAAACTGGAGCTGCTGAAGCAAAATGAAAGGATTTGGCAAAAGGGGCATCCATATTACTAACTAGATGAAAATCCATTGCATATTAACTATGAATTTTGGAAATTGGTCTACTCCCCAAGCTGGCAGCCTTAGCTCAAAGGGTTCTCGACTCAGACCAAGTTCAAATGAATTAAGAAGTAAAAATAATCAAGAAATAATAATTAGCATATAGCATTTGTGTCCATGGCATTTGTGCTAGGCACCACGCAGAACAAGTTTAACGAATACGATCTCTTTAAGATAGATGACAGTGACATGGATGGACAGATAGTTATTTTACCAAATAAGCAAAAATGTTGTGTGTAAATCAATATTTTTTTTGGGTAAACTGAATCACATTTTAGGCATATTAGAAAGTATACTACTTATAAAAGAATTTGTTGCTAGATTTAACGTGAAGACTCCTTTTGAACTGTTAATACCCTCTAATTTGTTTTATAAGTCTGGTTCTTAAAATAGGATGTGTCTATGTGTACTGGTAACATGTAACAGTACAATACACCAAAGATTAGCACTGTGACTAAAAATAATTTATGCTACTTATACAAATAGTCTGATAGAGAGAACCTAAGCTTGGATGCTGGTTCTACAATTTACTACCTCTCTGATGTTAGGCAAGCCTTAACTTTTCTGAGTCTCAGTTTCCATACCTGGAAAGTAAAGGTACTGGACAAGGAACTCTGAGGTTCCTTTTCTAAGGATGTAAGCCTAAAACCTTGGGAGATGAACCCTGTCACCTCTAAGCAATATCCGTTTCCCTCCCCACTTAAATCTGCCTTTGTTCTCAACTTAATAGTAACTCATGTTAAAGATAGCTTTTAATATTTACAAAACATTAAGTAGTAATCTGCAACACAGATCTCCCAAGCTTGAAACCTCAGAATTGTCTTTGACTCCTGTCACATCCAGTCAGTTACCAAGCCCTGGAGAGTCGGATCTTCACAATTACTCTTGCATCTGTCCCTTCCTCTCCACTTACTGTATGGCCACACTGGTATGGACCCTTATTAATTCTCATCTGCTCTCTTGCCATAGCCTCCCAACTCTCCTGTTTCCAGTCTCTTTGCTTTCTGGTTCATACTTTTAGAGCTGTCAAAGGGCGGCTAGGTGGCGCCATAGTGCACAGAGCGCTGGACCTGAAGTCAGGGTGACTCATCTTACTGAGTTCAAATCTGGCCTCAGACACTTGCTAGCTGTGTGACGCTGGGTAAGTCATTTAACTCTGTTTGCCTCAGTTTCCTCATCTGTAAAATGAGCTGGAGAAAGAAATGGCAAACCTCTCCAGTATCTTTTGCCAAGAAAACCCCAAATAATGTCATGAAGAGTTAGACACGACAGAACAAGAGATGCCAAAATGTTTCTAATATACAAATCTGAGCATGCAATTCTCCTGAAAAAACTTAAGTGCCTCTATATTGCTTATAGATTAAAACACGAAATTCTTAGCTTGACATTTAAATCTGGCTGTGATCTACCTTTCCAGTCTTATTTCACTCTATTCCTTGTTACACACTCCATGTTCCAGCTAAACTGGAACAATTACTCAATCCCATCTTCTATTCTCCTCCCTCTCCGCATATATTCAGGCCATCTATATCTCCCCATTCAGTGCATTCAGTGCCTGGAATGCACTCTGTCATCATCAGTATCTATTGAAAGCCGCCTCTTTTTTTTTCTTTTCTTTCAAAGCTCAACTCAGGTGCTACCTCTTCCATGAAATCTTCGTCGATCTACATTCCGTTCCCCTTTCCCCCTCATCTTGAGAATTTGTTTCAAATAGCATTCAGCCTAATGCCATCTTTATTTTTGTAGGTGGTAAACTTAATATTAAGCTGGAAAGGACTTGATGGTAGAGGTTTGTGATTTTTTTATTTTTCTGTATGTAGGGCCTAGCATAGTGCTTTGAACATAGCAGGCATTAAATATTTGATGAATGAAAAGATCTAGTGTAGGCCCTCATCACCTCATGCCTGGATTATTGCAATAGCCTGCTGGTGGGTTTGCTTGCCTTAACTACGCCCCTAGTCCAATCCATTCTCCATTCAGTCACAAAAATGGCTGTCCTAAAGTACAGGTCTGATCATGTTACTTCCCCCTACTCAATGAACTCCAGTGGCTTCCTATTGCCTCCAAGATAAAATATGAAACACTTTGTTTTGAATTCAAATCCCTTTATAACCTAGCCCCGTCCTACTTTTCTAGTCTTCTTACACCTTACTCCTTGCCAAATCCTCTTTGATCCACTGACATTGGTCTCCTGGATAGTCCATGAACAAGACATTCCATCTCTTGGGTCTGGCCATTTTCTTTGGCTGTTTCCTATGCCTGGAATGCTCTCCAACTACTGACCTCCCTGGCTTTCTTTAAATCACAACTAAAATCCCATGTTTTACTGGAAACCTCCAACATCTCTTAATTTTTCCATTATTTATTTCCTATTTATATTGTACATAGCTTGCTTTATATATATTTGTTTCTATATCATCTCCCCCATTAGACTGTAAGCTCCTTGAGGGAAAGAACTGTCTTTTGCCTCTTTTTGTATCCCCAGTGCTTAGCACAGTGCCTAGTAGATAATAGGTGCTTAATAAATGTTTATTGATTAATTGATGAGATGGCAGATAGGAGTAGGACAATAAGTTACATGGAAGTAGCTTTGCCTAGATTGAATATGATAACGAAGAGTAAGATAAGGTTAGTTGTAGTGCTTAGAAAGGAGGCCAAAGAGTCAGAAAGACCTGGGTTTGAATTCTGACAACATACATGCTGTTATAGACCCTGGGAGCTGGGGTAAGTCACTTAGATGTTCAGTGCCCCAGGCAGCTAGCTAAGATTGTAAATTCCAGATGAGTTGCCTCTCTGTATTAGTGGAGAGAGTTTCTACACTGGAAGTTTCCTATGCCAATGAAATCAGGTTTGGATAAAAAAGCAAAAGAAAGGTAGGTCAACCTGATGAAATACCTCCAAGTTAAAAGCAGCCTAGAGAAAAGTTGTGGCAATTTTTCATACCTCTTTGATACTTTTCTGCCATGGAAGAGGCTGGATTAAACTTAATTAGCATTCTCCTGAACCTTTACATAAGTCCATTAGTAAAATGTTTTCTTGATTTTATAAATGGGTGAACTGTGTCAGAGGCTAATGAAGTTACTTGTCCAAGTGGTGGGCTAGAAATGAAAAAAATCGGCCTCCAGTCTTAACCACAATATATCTTTATGCAGTTTCATGGATACCTTTTAATTTTATTCAGACTTGTAATTTCATTGGTGTTTGGAAACTTTTATTTGAGAAGACTCCCCCTGCCAATGGAGAGCTGGGAATCAGAGGCAGAGAATTTCTTGGTTGTGACTTTCCAAGAGTCACACAGCTAGTATGTTTTAAAAGATGGATTTGAACTCAGGTCTTCCTGATTCCAAGGATGGCTTTCTATCTACTATCTCCCATACTGCTGCTCTGTGAACCCTTTATGACTTTCAAAATATCAGGAATTTTACAAGGTGCTTAGGAAAGACCATGGAAAGGGCAGCAAGGATTGTGGAAAAGGTTTATGGCATTTCAGAGAGAATAGGATTTAGTCAGAATACCTGGCTCTGCCGTTTATTAGCTCTGTGACCTTGGACCAGTCGCTGCTCATCTCTAGACTTTCACTTCTCTCATGTATAAAATGAGGGGGCTGGATTAGAATGATCCCCAAGGTCCCTTACAGTTTTGACCATCTAGAACAGGGGATGGAGTAAATGTGGGTAAAGGCCTCGCTGACGGAGACCTAGACAGGGATTAGAAGAAAAAGCAAATCAGCAAGGCTCTCCTAACTTCCGTCTGCTCAACACAGACAAGGTGTGTTTGTATATAAACGTGCAACGTCCTTCTCAACTATCTTGGAACTTTTTTTGATCTTGACATTTTGTGATGGTTTGTTTTAAACCAGGCCCTACTACCGAGAGAACGAAAGCTTCAAAATCATCAAATCGACCTCTTCCCTCAGGATCAGGGCAGGAGACAGGTGAACGTCAAGAGAGTATGTGAAGAGGGTGCTGAGGCCGAAAACGGCGGTGCGGCAGGTTGGGCAGCTGAGCTCCCCAGGCCCACATAATTACTGTTTTTGAAAATCAAATGAGACCTAGTAGCCCTCCCGGGCTTGCGGTTCCCAGACGGCCAGCGTGATTTAGCGCCTTGTGTACAGAGGGAAATTCGGGGGCGAAACGGAGCAGAGGAGGGCGAGGGCGAGCGGGGGAGGGGAGAGGAGGGCGGGGGCCGTGGTTACCCCAGCTGCCTTGACTCCAGCCTCATTTCTCTTGATTAATCCATCCCATCTCCAAGCTGGAGTACAATGTCGTCCCGCAGCCTGCAGGTGTCTCCCCACGGAGCAGGAGGCGGCAGCGCATCCCCATCTCTGGCATGTGCCTCCAGCTAGCAGATGTTCGTTCGGTCCTTCGCTTCTTCACTCGCTCCCTCTCCATGCTCGCGGCCAGACAACCAGAGCTTCTCTGATCCCCTCCTCCTCCTCCTCCTCTTCCTCCTCCTCTTACACCTCCTCCCCGGAGGCTCCTCTCCGGCCCCGCACATCCCAGCCGGTTGGAAGGAAGCCCCTTTTGGAGACTGGCTCCCTCGCGTCCCTCTCGCCGCCGCCTTGCGAGCGCCCCAAGTTGAGAGGAAGATGGGGACCCGGCTGCAGCATTTGCAGAGCCGCTCCAGCAACAGATTGGAAGAGACGGAGAGTTTCCGCCGAGGGGAAACTGGCTGCTGAAGGGCGCGTGACAAGGCTCCGAGAACTTCTCCTCGCCCACACCCGCCCGCCCACCCGCACCCACCAGCTCGCTCGCCCCCAGCCCCGGCTTCCTTCGGGCTCGCTTGCTCCTTTCCCCGCGAGGAGGGCGGAGAGGCATGAAGACGAGCCGCCGGTGCCGAGCCCTGCTGGCCGTGTGTCTGAACCTGCTGGCTCTCCTCTTCTCCACCACCGCCTTCCTCACCACGCACTGGTGCCAGGGCACCCAGCGGGTGCCCAAGCCCAACTGTGGCCGAGACAAGAAGACCAACTGCCTCAACTATAGCGGCAACAGCACGGCCAACGACACGGCCGGCTCCCACGGGGTGCACTACAGCTGGGAGACCGGAGACGACCGTTTCCTCTTCAGGTATTTCCACACCGGCATCTGGTACTCCTGTGAGGAAAACCTCAGTGGACTTGGTAAGTGGCAGCGGGCTCCTCGTTCTCTTCCTCCCTCTCTCCCCTCCCCGGCCTCCGGTGGCCGTGGGTGGAGACAACCGTGATGGTTTGGCCTCACTGACCACAGCGCGAGATGCTCCTTTCCTCCCGGGAGCCCCGTGCGGCCCCCGTGAGACCATTTAGAACGAACGTTCAAGGGTTAGATTGTTCAGCCTTTGGGAACGTTCCACGTTCCACGGGTAAGAGCATTCCACGGGGTAGAACGTTCCCCAGTGCCGCGGTTTAGAAGGCTGAGCGCGCGCCGACCCGGAGAGCAACCTGTTCTTCGTCCGGAGGGCCGAGGAGCTTGCCTTTTCTGGGCTCCTTGACCTGCCCTCTGCAAGCTGTGCGCCCCTTCCAAGGGGACCCGAGAAAAAGAGCACCCAAGCCGACCGTCGAATGCCAGGGATGCTCCTGGGAGCCCCTACACTTCCCCTCCCCCCCCAGGAGGCGAAAAGGGTTCGGTTTTAGCAGTTGCAGAGTGAGACTGACAATCTGGGTCCCTCCCTGACTGATAGTTTTAGGTTATGAGTACAGAAGCCTACATAGGTTAACTGGAGTCTTGGCACCAGTCTGAAACAAGCTACATGGGTGTATGTGTGTGTTTGGGGGCAGATGGGGTGTATAACTCCCTCTAGGAGATAGCTGGAGCCCTGAGGAAGTAAGATATTTACCAAATCAAAGAACAGTAGAAACAGAATTCAAATAAAAATGTATGGAAAAGTAGTTGCAACAGAAACAGATAAAAACTACTCAAAACAAAATTATTGATTTTTTAAAAATGTACTTTTCAGGAGGTAAAATATGGGCACAGACCCAGTAAGCTTATTGTGGTTGGCTCTTCTCCTTCTACATCTCTGAGTGCTCTTCTCTTGGCCACAAAGCAAAGTAAGAGTGCTACAAAGCTTCAGAGCAAGGCTCTAGCAAAAGCTAGAAGTGTCTGGGTGAGAGATGGCCTCTGGCAAAGGCCCTTGGGAAGGCAGCAGGCATCTATAAATCGAGGCCTGTGTACCTTGAAAGCTTTTTACTGGTTGATGCTGGGTTGTAATGCCAGCCCCTGATTGATGTGCAGAGGGGGTGATGCTTCCTGAATGAATTGACACCCTCTCCCTCTTTTTAGAAGCTTAAAATTCATTCAATAGGAGCTTGGTTCTTCAGTGCAATATGAATATGCCTGCGGTTGTTCAAGTGGTGATGGAAGTGAACATCTATCCTCAGAGTCTTTGGTAAGCTGACCAATCTGGTTGCATTGGCTTGAGCCTTCTATTTGGAAAGAGTGAAGGTTTCAAGTACTTCAGTCCAGGAGCTGCCTGATAGCTTGTCCTTAGGACAGGATCAGACTTTTTTTTTTCCTTCTTGAAGGCTGCCTACTCTAGCTTGTTATTTTTGATACTAAATGTAACTTTTCTGAATTGTACTTTCTGTTGCTTATAAACATGCTGATTCTTTCTATGCTGTATTTTTGCCAGAGATAAGCTTTTACTTACTGATCAGAATTGATTTGATCTCCAACTTCTGATAGTACTCATGAGACTTTTATATATTTTTATTCTATTCTAGACTTAAATTCTGGAAGCACACTTTAGTCTAAAGCTATAATCTTACAGATCAGAAACCTAAAGCCAGGGAGCAGAAGCCATTCTGCTGAAAGTCATGCAAATAAACTAGAGAGTTGGTGTTAGAACCCAGGTCTCCTGAGACACCATGGAGCACAAAAAAGAGCATTAGATTTGGATTCAGATGCCCTGGATTTGAACTCTGACCTCTAAGACCCCTTCCAGACTAAATCCCATAACACTGTGATTTCCAGTCTACAATTCATTCCACTGTACCACCACAAAACTAATTAATTGCTTTCATAAGCACACAAGCCACAGCCCTAACCACCTACACAGAAATTTTCATAATACCTTGACACTTGAAAAATCATAACCCTTCTGGCCCATAAGCCATTCTTCCCCTTAAAGAAAGCATTTCTGAGTTCTTGAATAAAACTCATAAACTGCCATCACCAGTTCCTCTTCCCCAGGAAAATACCACAGACCTTCTAAAATATGCACATGAATACCTCCAATCCCCCCCCCCCTCCCCGCCAGCCCCAGGACCTCTCCGACAGCTAGAATCAGGCCACAACTACTACTCTTCATGTAGTTTTGTCAACTGAGACTTTTCAGCTGTTGCTTTAGAAGGGAAGGGAGATTTTTATTAGTTTGGGGCCTCTGGTTTAGTTCTCAGGAATTCTTCTCTTTCATACTAATTTCACCTTCAGTAAGCTTGGGTTAAAACATAGTTTGGCCTTGGTTGTACCCAGGAAGAGGGGTTAGGGAAAGGTGAGGGGAAGTACATCACTGTAAGGTGGAATATGAGGAGAGGGCTATTTGGGGGAACTAAAGCAGAGATTACTTTAAATGTAGTGTAGTATAATGAAGAAAGTCCTAGATTTGGAGTCAGAAAACCTGTGTTAGAATCACAACTATGCCTCCTCCTACATGTAACCTTGGACAAATCACTTAACCTCTAGGCTAAAATTTCCTTATCTGCATATAATAAGGGGATTGGACTAGATTTTACCTAAGGGCCTTTCTAGCCCTATAGCTGATGATTTACATTTGGGACCAAAATAAACAACAAATAAATTGAAGACTGTTTAAGGTCTAGATTTTAGGGGATCTGTGAACTGTTTTTTAAAACACATTTTGATAACTATATTTTAGTACAATTCATTTCCTTTGTAATCTAATGTATTTTATTTTATACATTTAAAAACATTCTGAGGAGTCCATAGGCCAGGTCTAGGAAAAACAAACAAACAAACAAACATTAAGCTCTGCTGATTTAGGGTAATCCCTATTATGCATAAATGTCTTTTAAAATTGAAAAAAAAATTTAGTTCTATGGCAATCTCTGGGTTGAGATGAGCGCTTATAACCTTGATTTTAGGATTATTTCAATGTACATTCTTTTTCATTGTGCGTGCTAATTTACCACTGTGGTGGTAAGCTATTGATACAAATCTCGATGAATGACTATTTAGATAAATCAGGTAAGCCCCAAATCCTTTCTTTTTTCTTTTAGTCATCAGTACATGAAAAACTTACCAAACAGAAAAATTGCAATTTTCCCTCTTGGTGTTTGGAAGGTAGCGATCAGCCTGTCACTCACGAAGCCTTGGGTCTTCTTCCTTGTGCTGCTGATAAGTGAGGCCAAATCCTGTCAGTCTCTCTGTACCTCAATTAAAAACAAAGTTTTTTGGTCCATGTTCATTCACCCTTCTTCTGTGTTTTGTGACCCATAAGAAAAACAACTGCCTCCAAAATTGACACCTGACCCTCACAGGAAAAGAATTAAGGATAAACCTCTCTGCTTTAAAAGGGAAACAAACATTTCTTTTTCATTTGCTCCTTTTCCTCCCAGTTTCTGTGAACTGTACTAACACAGATCCTAACCTGTCCCTGTCAGGGCAGAGCATGCTGCAAACATTCCTGCTTCAAATCCCCAACCAGAAACTCTGGGCCTGTAAAAACCTCTCTCTGTCATGGCCAGTCACAGGGAAATCTAACAAGTCCCCTTTTCCCACACTAATAGCCCACAGTGCTTACAAAGAAAACTATAGTCCTTCTCCAAAACAGATACACTTTCACCAACCCTAGCACAAAGGAACCTTTTCTCTCTTCTCTAAGAAGGAACATCCTCCTCCCTCAATATACAGAAGAGGAATCATGTCCTCTGCACAGAAAAAAAAAAACAGCCTAGTGTTCAGTCCAGATTCCGCCTGCTGAGAATCAGTACACTGCATTTGGGAAATGGGAAGCCTGGCTTCTACTTTTGATTTCCCCCAGTGGTTTGTTTGGTGACCGCTCCCCTTCCCACCTCCCAGCAAATTTACATTCATTCATTATTCAACAAAGCAGCCTTGGTTGGTGGAAAATGCCCTGGACTGGAGACCGAGGACATGGATATGAATCCTGTTTACAACCTGTGTGACCTTGAGCAAGTCATTTTTCTCTGTTTTTCCTATTTGTAAAAATGATTGAGTTAAACAGGATGGTCTTTATGGTCCCTTCTAATTCTAAATCTGCTTTTTGAAAAATTTATGAAAAATAAGGCTTACTGTGTATGTACATGGCACTCACCCTTAGGTGACACAAGAAATGTTAGATGTGGCCTCTTCCCTCCCACGGCTGGTAATCTGGTTGAGGAGGTGATACATACACCTGTATGTATGTGTGTGTGTGTACACATATAAATATATGTATTTACACAATATGCACACATATATATAAAATATGCATTTTATCATACACATTTATATGAAAATTACATGACAATTCAAAGCACTGCACTATTAAGCATAAAAGAAGGGTTATAGACTGTGTACGTGCTATGGGAATGCAGAAATGGAGCGAAGCCCAGAACCTTGGATCTACAAGGTACCTCAAAACCCTTCTATAATATGCCTGAAAAGTCATCTTTCAGCCTCTATCAGACCTGTATTCCAGGTCTGCTCGTTACACTTTGCAGTAATTTTAATTGTTAAGAAGGTCTTTTTCCTTATATTAATCTGAAATCTGTTTCCTTGGATCCATTGCTCTTAATATTTGTTTTTTAAAAGCAGTTGGGGTTAAGTGACTTGCCCAGGGTCACACAGCTAGTAAGTATCAAGTGTTTGGTCTAAGGCTGGATTTGAACTCAGATCCTCTTGACTTCAGGGCCAGTACTCTATCCACTACGCCACCTAGCTGCCCCAGTATTGCTTTTTGAGGCCAGCTTTCACATGACAATCCTTCAAATACTTGAAGACAGCGATCACTTCTTTCAAGCTTTCTTCTTTCCAGGCTAAACATTCAACTAATCCTTGTTTAGCATATTCTCCAGTTACTCAGCTATCTTGGTAGCTTTCTTCCAGTTGCATTCTTTCCTAAAAATGCCATGGCCAGAACTGAGTATTTGGCCTGACCAGATCAGAGTACAATAGGTCTGTCTCTTCCCTAGATCTTGATACTCTGTCCCTTTTAATTGATGTGTGTTAGAGAGGTTCAGGAAGAACTATTCTTTCCCGGTTCTGTCTGACCTCTCTTCAGTTTCCTTTGCTGGCTCATCATCCTGGGGATATACTTTAAGTGTCTGTCCTGGGCCTTTTCTGTGTATCCTCTCTTGGTGACCTCAGCAACTCTTATAGCTTACAGATCTATATATCCAGCCTTAGTGTCTCTCCTGAGCTTCAGTCCCACATCACCAAATATTGGACATTTCAAATTGCATGTCCAATGGCATCTCAAACTCAACATTGTCCAAACCAATTCATCCCTGTACCAAACTTCCTTATTTCTTGCAGTCTCCCAGGTGTGCAGCCTTTGTGTTGTATTCAATCTTGTCAAATCCTGCTGTTTCTGCTTTCACAAACCCCTCTTACATTTGGCCACTTCTGTCTATTACCACCTTAGTACAGCCCCACATCACCCTTTACGTGGACTATTGGACTCCCTGCCCGAAGTCTCTCTCTATTCCAGTCACGCACAGCTGCCAAAGTAATTTACCTAAAGTTCAAGTAGTCCCCTATTATCCCTAGGATGAAATCTATGTTTGTCTTTCAGAGTCCTTCACAACTTTACCTCACTGTAGCTTTCCAGCTTTATCAGAAATTGCTCCTTTTCATACATTTTGCAATCCACCCAAACTGTCCTCTCTGTTCCTTACACATAACATTTAATTTCTTTTCCCTATGCCTTTACACTGGCCATTCTTGATTCCTGGAATGTGCTCTTCTCACCTCCGCCTCATAGAATCCTCACTTCCTTCACGACTCAGATTATGTACTGTCTATATGAAGTGTTTTCTGTTCCCGTTGTTTCTTGTGTGCCTTCTTTTCTGAACTACCTTGGATTTATTCTGTACATGTATATGTACACATATATGTACAGGATAAAGACAAAGTGGTTGTACATATATATGTGTATATATACATATATATATGTGTGTGTGTGTATATGTATACATCAGTGCCCCCTAAAGGATGTAAGCACCTTGAGAGAAAGGACAGCTACATAAGTAGATGCTTAATAAATGCTCCTTAATTGAATGAATGAGTGACATTGTGGAGGAGGTAAGTTGAACCAGGTGGGTGGCCAGGGGAGAAAGTGAAAACTCAACTATTACTGGGGTACCCATAGCAGCAGCTGTGCAGGTATCGTTAGGAAAATCCTCAACTATACCCATCCCTGTCCCACAAATCACTTACTGGTTATGAGGGGTGCTCTGTAAAGGCCAAGCTTTTCTCTCCAGGGCAGTTGTGCCCTCTTTTTCCCATCCTATATCCCCCATGTCTTTTCATTTTGGGTTGAGCGCAGTGAGTTTCAGAATGCGTGCTCATGGGTTAATTGAGACTTGCATCTTATTATCTTTCTACTCATAATCTACTCCATTCTTCCAAATGTGCATGTAGCATACCATCCAGTAACCCACTTTACAAACTTACTGTCAGACTTGACTCCTCATGCTCCCTCAGTTTTCAAATCTTTTGCTTACATTTGGCCCCTTCTTTCTATTCATATCAGCCACAAGCCTGATTCAAACCCACATTACCTTTCCCCTGGTAGCCTTCTAAATAGACTTCCAATCTCAAGTCTCTCCTTTTTCCAGACCATCTTCTATGTAGCTGCCAAACTGACTTTCCTAAGTAAAGGTGTGGCCATGTCACTCACTAAATTCCAGTGACTCTGTTGACACTATGATAAAAAAAAATTATTTCATCTTAACAACATTCTTTTTTATTTTCTAATTTTTGTGTACATTTATAATATACATAATTATTAGTACAGTAGTGCTAATTTAATTTTGAAATTATTTATAAATACACATATTGGGAGTGTGTGCTTAAATTTTTTCTTTTTACTGGTAGTAGGAGTGTGATTAAATATTTTTGGGGATTACCATTCTAGATAATGTGAAACAGTGATAGAATTTTTTTTAACACAGTGAAATGGATGTTTGGTAATATTAATTTGGTGCAGCTATTCAGGTTCTCAATGTCATTGGAGATATAAAACAGTATGATTGCCAAATTTGTCCACCACTGGCATAGACAGTCCTGCACTGAGTCCAAATAGAAACAAAATTCACTGTAGATGGTTAGGTTCTCCAGATGACCCTGTTTGTATGTGACATTGTGTTAATTTTGTTAACTCTGGATTATTCCAGTGCATACTTAATGAGATCCACCAATATTCAAAAGCAGAGGGCCTAATAATTCATGGTTTAAGAATGCCTGTTTCCTAGATTATGACAAATAGTTGGATGGGCAGCCCATTGATTTAGTCTATGAGTACATATATCTTGGTTAGACACTGAAGATGGCCTTCAAATGAATGAAGATAAGAGTAGGCTGGATTATGTTTGGGAAATTGTATAATACTTTCAGGAATCTCAAGCTGCTCCCTAACATAAAAGGCCATCTTTTTAACACCAGTATTCCCTTGGTGATGCTGTATGGCTACAAATAATAGAGTGCCATTATCTCTGAAGAATAAAAATTTCAGTGACCTGAAGGACATTGGGGAGATGCTTGGCAGGTATAAATGGACTCCTACAAATTACCAATGATGCCTTGTTTTCAAAAGTGGCATTAAAAGAAGCACTAAGAAAATGTATGATTGGGAAAGGAGATGGCTCAGGCGTGTAGTAGGAATGAGTACCCAGAAAATATCAAAAGATGCAGAGGAAGGCTTCTAGCAAGTAGATGAGTCCTCCAGGGAGGATTTTCAGGAGGATGTAAGTTTCTTAAGGACAAGGACTATTTCCTTGTTGTCTTTGTCTCCCAGCACTTAGTTTAGTACCTGGCATATAGTAGATTCTTAATAAATGCTTGTTGAATTGAATTATTATATGAACAAGAAATGCAAAGGAAGGTGTGAATAGACTGATTTGCATCAGTGAAGGGAATAACCACCATAATGAGATCATTGATTCAAAGGAGTATTACAGTCTTCTCATTGCAGGTCGTAGGATGGATTTGAGTTGTGAGAGACCTGAATTAGTAGATATCAAGTAAGGTGATAAGAGTCTGGATTAGTGTGCTGGCAGTAAGAATAGAGGAATGGCTGAGAGATGTTTCAAGGGAAAATTGACCAACATGTAGTGACTGATTGAATATAGATAATGATAGGACCAGCTCAAGATGATTTGTGGCTTTGAGCTTCAGTAACTCAAATTTTTTGGGAAAGGTGGTGCCTTTGAAAGGAAGTGGGAAAGTTGGGGGAGGGAGCTGGTTTGGGAGGAAGGTGATAATGAGTTCAGTTTTCCCTTCTATATGCATTAGTTTCTCTATCTGTAAAACAGGAAAAGTAATATCCAATACTATTTTCAATCTACTCTTGTGAGGTAAATGATTCACAAACCTGTGAATAGGTTTTTTCTCTCAGTATCTTCATTCCTATTTGTTATACAGTAAATGAAGTTTGTAGAGTAGTGCTTGATGCCCCTTCTTTCTCTCCCTCTGGCCCCTACCACATCCCAGTCTGTACTCAGTACTTTATTTGCTTAAGTACTAGTGGACAGCAGCACTTAAAGGACAGTGAGTATAGTCATGCTTGTTGGATTTTTTCACTCAAGGAAAAAACTCACACCTTTCTTGCTGCCTCACTAAAAGAACACTATAGTGTTTCTTCCTATTTTCTTAGAGAATTATAACTTTTTGGTCTAACACACTAATTTAATTACTGTGCATTTGTGTGCATAAAACATATATACATATAAAACACTGTCAATCAAGACAATCTTAAATACTTGGTATGAGGTAGTGTAATGTAGATATACCCCTGTTTTTTTTTTAAAAAAAATCTGTTATTCAGATTTAAACAGGTCAATATACTCTGCAAAAGGGTTTATGTTTTTTTTTTTTAATAATAACCTAAATTCATCAAGTTTCAAATTTTCAAGAGCACAGGATTGGGAGATGGGAGAACTGGGTTCTCCTGATTTTTTTACTTAGCTGTGTGACTGTATGACCTTGGGCAAATCAGTTAACCTGTCTGGGCTTCATTTTAGAAAAAAAATTTGCATCTGCGAAAGGATTGGGCTAGGTCAGCTGATCTTTCAGCTCTGATGCTCCACAACTGCAGAAATTTGTTAGCAACGAGTCTTTGTGCAATGTGAGGTGAGCTTATATTCTATACATAATGGAGTGGATTTCCATGGACTCTTTCCCTGATACTTTTTCTTTTCTGTACTTTCTTTTGTTCTGATCATAATGATAGGTGTTTAGTGGGAAGATATAAGTGGAACTGGAGGAGTAAGAGTGCCAGAATTACCCATTAAATATAATCATTAAAAAAATTCTGTGGGATATAGGAATGACTGCAGTCTTGGTTCTGTTGTGTAAAAAACCTCCAAGTTTGCTACTAGGACTATTCTAGGAATCAGAAAATCAATGAGTCTTTCACTCCAAGGTCATTTATTTCCAGCCTTGATTTCCTCTAGCCAATGGGTTTAAATACATTCTTTTTCCAAAGTGCCACAGATGAGGAATGCTCATTATTAAGGCATTCCTGGTGGTTAATTCATTAGCTAAAAATCTTTGACTTTTTAAGTTTGTGTGTCTTGAAAGATCCCAGGATAATGAGTAATGATACTGTTTGGGGGAACTTTGTAGTTTATGATTGGGGCCATAAAGTACAGGTTTTCTTTCCCACTATCCAAATTTTCAAAAGTGCAAATGAATTGTAAAGCACTAAGAAGTACAAAGGTATAAACTCATTTTGAGGATCAACAATTGGAGAACTTGTTTCCCAAGGCTAGGAGATTTCCTCTTGAACTGGAGAGTTTCAAGGAATTTCAAAGAATAAAGTAAGAGGGATTTCAGGAAGGACAAGAGCAAAGCTGGTCTTTCAGGAAAGTGAGAAGTGTACCATTATTTTCAAGGGATGATTTTAGGGGCATCAATAAAATGTTGCTGTCTAGAACTACATCCCCTGTAGGTCACAGGGTTTGGAGATGAACTAATCTTAGAGTTCATCTAGGCCAACCTCCTCATTTTATCATTTTTTGATTCTTATATGTTTTGGACATTGAATGATAGTCACTAATGGAAACAATTACAAAAACCATTGAGTTGAGCTGATATTTTGTCTGACTTTCTTAACTGATCTTCATAGTATATTTATTTTCTTCTTATTTCACTGGAGGCCTTGAAATGAATTTGGTGACTATTCTACTGAAGACTAGGGGACCTCTGAAGTTCTGATCAACTTGAGATTCTGGCTTTTGTGATTTAGTGTGCATCTCCTGGCCACTTTTTGTATTATTCTCTTCCCTTCTTCAGGAAAGAAAAGTCAGTCTAGACTGGGAGGGGGAAGATAATTACATATCAACTTGTGAGGGATCTGATTTGTCCTATGGTTTCCTTACTTTCCAGGTGATGATGCTGACTGGGGATCATGGAGGAAATGAAGGTGTTTACTTATACCTTTCTTGATGGTGGAAACTCTGATACTAATGTTAATATTTTCTCATTTCTGTCCTCATGGAATCAGAGGCCAAACTTTTTCTATCATGGTCCCTGTCTAGCTCCCTTCCCCAAATGGTTTGACAAAGTCTGGATTTACTGACCTTTAGAGCATTCAGCAAGAGCACACCTTTTTAGTCAGACTTAACCAGATTTGTGTTGATGCCATTTTTAAGGGGTTAAATGTCCAAAATGAAACTGAAGTGATTTAAAATGTAAAATAATGTGCTTTAAAGAATGTTAGTGTGACCTGGGGCAGAATGGCAGAGAACATTGTCCATAGATAGGACATTTGAAAAATAAACAAATGAAAAGAATTCATTTATTTTTTGGACTTTCTCTCTTGCTCATTGGGACATTTAATTGAGAGCTAGAATTCATTGTGCCCTGGACTAACAGAGCATAAATCTAGACCCTGTGTCTGCAAATGGAAATCTTGAAAGTAAGGTGTATGGGGGGGGTAGTGGTGGTGGCAGCAGAATATAAGGAAGTTCTGGAAATGAATACAGGTCTTGGGGCTTTGTTCCTCAAGAGAAAACATTTACTCCTCATCTGGCTTGTTGAATCCAACTCCATGTTCATGTCGTGTTCTCTGAGTACATCAAGGTAGCTATGTTGCTTAGGAAAATTACTTTATCGAACAATAGGTGTTTTCTGTTCTGAGCAGATAGTGGGGGCCAAAGGGAAGCATATGACACTTTTCTAATCCTTCAATTCAGGTGAAAAGCCATTGCTGAAAGACAAGAGTAGGGAGCTCACAGTGGCTTGTCCTAGGAAATGAGTTCCTAGTTTGAAGCTGAAATGCCAGATCACTGATGCTGGAAGGATAGTGCATTTTCACAGAATGCTGAAAGCATTCTGTCTCCACCAACCCCACTTTGTCTGCTGTGGGGGTGGTGCTTTTTGTCAGTACAGATTTAGGCTTTTTGGAGCTGTGACCCTGAAGCTGCACCCTTAGGGATGGTGACAACGAGATGTACCCTCTGTCCTCCCTCATCTGTTTCCCTGGCAGAATGGTAGCTAACAGCAGGCAGACTCAGAGTTACACCAGGGATATGGTACATGGTGTGTTGGCTCAACAAACTGAAGACTGGAAAAGGACAATCTGAAGAAGAGAAACCTTTGCCAAGCCTGAAATCCAACCTCCATAGCCTCAGGAGATCAGTTACACGACACAGTAGATTCTCAAATAGCTGAAGTAAGTGCTGAACATCAAACATTACTGTTGCATAAACCTGTGTCTAAGGGTATGTTCACACATCCCTATAGAATCAATGTGTGTAAGAGAAAGCCTGTTCTGATATGGTGGAGAAGCTGTGTGGGAGGGTTCCAAATCATACTCCTTATCCAGTCCCATTGGTGCAAATTGCATTGTTTGACCTGCCTTGCAGTTTTTCAGTGTGACTCTAAACTCAGTTTCCAGCTTAGATTTCAATTACATATTAGACATTTTAAATCATAGTAGCTACCACAAAGCCAAAATACACTGGTATGCATCTTGACTTAGATTTTGTTTTGAGGAGTGCCAAAGAGCATTAAGAAATACAAATTGATGGCTATCTAGAGCAAGATGATTTTCAATTAAAAAAATGGCAGGACATACATGGTATGGCATAATTTTGGGCTCAAATTAGAACCTTGTGTGGTATTCATTAGCCTGTAGGAAGACCTTGAAATGCTAATCTTTGCATGAAAATTGCCTCTCAAGGAAAAGTCAGTCATTAAAAATGTTAGCTTGTGGGGCTTAATATGTTGAAGAAATCACATCATTTTCAAAATTCTGTGTACAAATGGTTTGAAGAGTTCAGTATTTAGCCATTGAGTAACATCATCTTTAGTATTTAGGATGACACCAAATGAAGTATTGAGCCATGGCAACTGAAGATGGTGTCAATGGCTGTACAGTTAAAGCTCCTATCCTGAGGTGAATCTCTCTGATTTTTGAGATGGAAAAAATTTCTGTAGGCTTCTCATCTTAGCTGTGGTACAATCAGTGGTAGTGCCTCCAGCAAAATTAGCCTCAGGCTCATTGTTGCCCCTGCCAGTATAGCTCAGGTGGTCATGGCAGCTTTGACTGTGGCTCTTCAGTGTCAGAAGTAGTTGGCACAAAACTGACCAGTCCCAGGATTGAAGTGCTGCTAGAGCTACTGCTGGGGTTGACTGTGGGGAGCAAACAATTAGGCAGTGTATGAATGGGCACAAGCAAACATGTCAATAATTACTGCTGGTACCAGGGCTAACAGTCTGTGTCTGCATGGGCCATTGGTTGTCTAAACTGATACGTACCCTAGCGATTTTTCAGGTAAACATCAAGGAGACTGATTTTAAGTTTTCCAACCAGGTATTTGTTATAATGAAGTGGAATTTTAATGCCAGCAATTGGTGGTATGTTAGCTTTTGGCATACCAACCATCTTGTTGGGTGACATTTGAATGTCATTCGCATCTATACATGCTACAACGAATGCTCACCTCTTTAAAGGTCCATTTTTCTTTTCAGGAAAGGAGAATTTGGAGGAACTCAAGGAATCTTGTCTGGATGTCTTTGATCTTTACCAATTACCACATAGCGTACACAGTTCTTTTTAAGAGTCGTGTTTAGCTGATGATATTGTATTACATACTGCATAGGTTTATTACATGCTGCATAGGTCATTGTGAAGAAATGCTTTGAAAAATTTAAAATGAGCTATGTAAATATTACTGCCTACCCTAAAATATTCACACCTCAATTTGCAGGACCTAAAAATACTAAGGAGTTGCAACTTCTGGGCTGACAAATCTGGTACAAAAATCCTTAAAAAAGAATTTACTCTTCCATTAATGGAATTTTTGTTCTTCCATTCTGGAAGATGGTAGGACTCTTCCATGAAACATGAAGGTCAAAATGGAGAGAGGTGCATCTAAAGGTTCCCTGAAGATCTCTGCACTTTTGTTAATGATAATGTGAGTTCACCCAGTTATTCACTTCAGAATATTAGCAAGCCACCTGATCTATCAGTCTGAAATCTGCTTGAAGAAGATGATTTCTCCAAGTTAACTGAAGAGGATGTCCTGGCGAGGGGCCCATAAGTCGCTTTACTTGCTTGATGATGCCTGAAATGACTTTAACAGGGATGAAACAGAGCCTTCCATTTCATTTCACATGGAGAAAAAAGGCTTGAAATATGTAAAATCTTGTGAGGGGCAAACTTACACATAGCTGATATATTATGAACCTTTCCTGAGAACAGGCTGATAAGGAGAAGAAAGGGGAATGACTTTGAAGGCACTGAAGTACCTGAAGATATGAGACAGGTGATAAAGAAGAAGCAAGACGCACTGGAGACAGACATTTACTTCACAGTTTTGCCATGGGCCAGACCTGGATGCTGAACAGAGTCTGTGACCTTTAGAGAGCACACATTTCATAATAGTGACCATTTGTAAACATTTCAGTTTACCTAGCATTTCTTAAAAACCATCCTCTGGCGTGGTAGCCATGCCTCAGAGAGGCTAAGGGATTTGTGCTACAGATGAGCCCCTCCTTCATCTTCTTTGTTTCTATTGATATCACCACTGTCTTTCCAGTTACGCATGTTTGAAACCTCTTTCTCTGACTCTTCCATATCCCTTGCCCTCAAAGTAGAGTCTACTTTCATAAAATCTCTATAATTTGTTTCCTCTTTTCTACTAACATTGCAGCTATCTGAATACAACGTGGTATAGTGGAAGTCATGCTAGAACTGGAGTCAAGAGGGACCTCAGTTTGCCTCAGCTGAAGTGTAATAGATTCTGCTGTAGTCCTTATTTTAACTTTATGTGTATCTTTTTGTTTCAAGAGTATTTCTTGTAAGCAACATATTGGTAGATCCTCTTTTCTAGCTCATTCTGCTATCCTCTTCTGTTTTATGAGTGACTTCGTTCCATTCACATTCACAGTTATGATTGCTAACTATGTATTTCCCTCTATCCTGTGTTCTTATATTTATCCTTCTCTTTTTTACCCTGTTTTCTCTTTAAGAGTCTTTTGCTTTTGGCCTAATCTACCCTCCCTTTTATTTGTTGCCCCCTTTCTCCAAACCTCTTTCTCTGATGGGTAAGATAAACTTCTATACCCTACTGTGTGTATTTGTATTCTTGAGGGACTTCAGTTTGAATCCTCCCTCTTTGCTTTACTATCTTTGTGATCTTGGGCAAATCACTTTTCCTTAGACCTTTGTTTCCTTACATGTATAATGGAAATAATAATGCCAATAGTACCTATTTTACAGAGTTGTGAAGAGCAAATCAACCAATCAATTAACAACCATTTATTAAATACCTAGTATGTGTCAGGCACTGTGCTAAGTGCTGAGAATACAAATAAAATGAACACAGTCCTTACTTGCAAGGAGCTTATGAGATTAATCAAGCAACCTTCAAGCAAGAGGTAATGGAGACATGTAATAATAAGAAATAACATTTATATTGTTCTTTAAGGTGTACTCCAAGGCTCTATCCTTTGCCCTCTTCTCTTTTTATACTCTCTGGGTAATCTCATCAGCTTATATGGGTTTAATTATCATCTTTAGAGAGCTCTCAGAGCTATATATCCAGTCCCTCTACATATCCAGTCTCTTCTGAGCTCCAGTCTTCAGGAAATAACTATTTACACTATATTAGGGAATGTCCCACAAGCAGCTCAAATTCTACATGTCTAAGACAGAACTCATTATCTAGCAGCTAAGTAGTGTAGTAGATAGAGTGCTGGGTCTGGAGTCAGGAAGATCTGAGTTCAAATCTAATATCAGATATTTACTGAGTGACCCTGGGCAAGTCACTTAATCACCCTTAGCTTCAGTTTCCTCTTGTAAAATGGAGAAAGTAATAGCACGTGTCTTCCAGGGTTGTTGTGAAGATCAAATGAGATAGTGTTTCTCAAGCACATATCACAGTACCTGGCACATAGCAGGAACTTAATACATGCTCCCTCCTCCCTTTTTTTCTTCCTTCCTTCTTCCCTCCCTCTTTCCTTCCCTCCCTTCCTTCCTGCCTGCCTTCTTCTGTCCCTTCCTGCCCTCCCTCCCTCCCTCCCTCCTGAACTGTTATTTCTTAATTGTTCTCTTTGCCTCCAGTCTTTCCCTGTTCAATTCATTCTTCACATAGCCACCTAAATGATATTCTTAAAGCACAAGTTTGCCATATCACTCTCCTGCTCTAGCAGTTCCCTATTGCCCCTGGGATCAAAAAATTCCTTTGGCATTTAAAGCTCTTCCCAATCTAGCATACTCTCCCAGGATT